GCGAGCTAACCGGTGCTGTATTCCCGTATGCTGTTCCAGTTTCTCTGCAAATTAAGAGCGCACCAAAAGGCATGATAGCATCCTATACATTTTTAATGTTCTTCAAGCTTACATGAGGTTACATATCTTTATTTTCCGTGTTTATATGAATTAACTGCAATCTAACTTTTTTGATCTCCGTGGTAAATCTTATCACGATTTGTGCGCTCTTTCATAAAGGACGTACATCTTGCGTGAACTGTAAAAGGTGATCTCTGCGGGGCGATGGGGTTCATCTGAAACAGGGCGAAGGCTCTCTCTCTCTCGCAGACCAGCTGCGCTCCTGCCCCGGGGGAGATGGCGAGACGGGTTTCTTTGTGCCTGTAAATACGGGGCAGGGGTAGTCTCTGGAACGGCTTCTCACAGATGGTTTATCTCGCAGCGCTTTCCTTTCCTGACGGTCCAGCACGATTGAAATCCCCGAGTCATTCAGGTAAGGGAGGAAAGAGCTGTAGGAAACGAGTCAAGACTTAAGTGTTAAGAGTTCCCGTTTGGTAAAACAATATTCCTCCCTTAATTACGGGGTTTACATAGTAGGATAACCCTTATCTTTAAGATAAACTACTAATAATAATTGTGGTGGTTGGCGTTACTTTTATTAGGGATAATATCTTTTATTTTCAAAATTGTATTTAAAATCAATCAGAATTGACCTTCGAAGAATAAAATGATTGTTATGACTGAAATCAACGCAGTTCAGAATCGGAACAGAGACTTTGCACGCGTAGAGCAACATTATTAATTGCTTGTGCAGCGGGGAGCGGGCAGCTGGGTACTGTAGGAGAATTAACACACTGCTAATGCCAAGCGACAGAGCATCCCCAGCTCAGCCGGCGCCGGCCAGTCCCTGCGGCCCACAGCTCCGAATTATTCACTTTAATTGAAGACTGCAGAACGACCCGTCGGCCCCTCTCTGATTCGCCGCCCTGTGCCGGACTCAGCCCTGAGGGAGAACGGGGATCCCACCGGAGCAGAACAGGAGGCAGATCCCCACCCCACAACCCCCAGCACACCGGTGCGCATCCACCGCGAGAAAGAGCCGAGGCAGAGACACGGTCAGCAGACTGGGACGAGCACCAGCACCGACTCCTCACACCGGGACGAGCACCAGCACCGACTACGCAGACCGGGACCAGCACCAGCACCGACTCCACGGACCGGCCGGCGCGTGCTCCTGAGAGTGGGAGTGGCACGGGCTTTGTGCTGCGGAGCGCGCGTGCTCCGTGGACCGGGCGCCGCGCGTGGATGCTGAGCTGTGCCCGTGATGCTCTTCTGGCTGAGAGAGGAAGAAATGTCTCTTCAGGAGCTGCGGGAGCGCTTGGACAGCGTCATCACCCATGTCGGTAAGAAGAATCCTTCCACCCGTGGGCGCGTATATCTGTGTATATAGTACATGAGATATATACAGTATATAAACCTTTGTGTTTGAGCGAGGAGTGAACAAATGCCGACTCAGGGCTGCAGTATGATCTCACCCCATCACCTGGGAAGGACAGGAGAGATTTTTAACAGACTTACAAATACCGATGAGTTCGCATTTATCTTCCATTTAAACGGTTATAGTACGCAAAGGTAGCGTGTGTTCACATGCCTGTCGTTGGGTGTTTGCCTGTTCATCTCTGTATCAAGATGCGTGTTGGAGGGGATGTATTTTTATCCCGTTAATGTAGAAATAGGAACATAGACGATCTTTAGTGACAGATTGTTATGTTATGTGAGCAGCATATTTAACCACTTACTGGTTAATTAGGATTAGAATTTAGAACATAAAATTGCAGGTGTGACTCGGTGAAAAAGCTGAAATAAGGCTGGATTTCCTCTCCAGTGAACACGGGGCGCAGTGGTGCAGACGGCTCAGCCGACATGAAGTGGGGTGACTGTAATACTGTGCACGGAAAGAGCTGTGTAATATCTGCATTTTGGGGGGACCCCTCTTTGCCTACGGGGAAAACTGCTGTCATTTTAGTGTCGACAACCTGAAAAATACGAGCAGTTTTTCCAACAACATCGTTGTTTCTGTGCACAGCCCAGTTATCTGGAGAGAGAAAACGAAACCATGTTGCGGTTAATTTTATTTTTTATGGAACGATTTGCAAAGATATCAGTGTGCACCGTGATGAACTGAGGTGCCGTACATATACGCGAGAGGTTGTCACGCCCTGAAGAGCAAAGGTAAAAACGTTTTCTGTGAGCAGTGCAGAAAACATTTAAGGAAATTACTTGTCACAGCTAAATTGTCAATATTCTTACCATCAGCCAGATTGTCCCATTCAGTAAGAGCCATAGGGCCGAAATATTTTATTTGAAATTTTACCTTTCTGGGGTGATATTTATTTTACAAAATTAGGCCTGCCACTTTGACATCATGCAACTGGGTAACTGAGCAGTCCTTGTACACTGGATGCATTTTATAATGTCCATTTTGGTCACATATGGGTCCGCTTGTTTCAAAATGACATCACCCAGGAAGCTGAGCAGGAAGTAGATTATGGTGCCAGTGTGGAAACTGTGATGTCATCAGCCTGGCTCCGCAGCCACCCCAGAGAGAACACACCGGTAGTCGCCATGGAGACAGAGCTGGCCAATGCCTGCGCGCTGTGTGCGCATCAGGCCACACTGACGCCGCAGTTCCTGCAGCCCTGCAGCTCCTGCAGCCCCTGAGATCCTGCAGCTCCTGCAGCTCCTGCAGCCCCTGCAGCTCCTGAGGTCCTGAGGTCCTGAGGTCCTGCAGCTCCTGCAGCTCCTGCAGCTCCTGAGGTCCTGAGCTCCTGCAGCTCCTGCAGCCTCTGCAGCTCCTCGGTTCACATTCCTGTCATGTGGACATGGTGACAGCAGGCTCCCTGACTCCCATGCAGACTGTGAGCATCTGCTCCTTGTTTACCTGGAAGGTCCCTCAGCTGTCGTTCTCCTTGTCAAACCCCAGGTGTGTGACTCGCGGACCTGAAACACAGGCACTCAAACACTCACCGTAGGGCCTGCTGGATCGTAAAGAGCAGTCTGCGCTCTGCTGTGAAAAGGGTGGTGTGCAGTCAGAGTACTGCTGCTATAAATAATGTCCCTCACAGTGCAGGAGGCTGATCTGCCATGAGCCCGATAGGTCTGCACTCTCTCGGCCAGGGGGAGCGGCTGTTGTCTCGGGAGAGACTGCATCTGGTCAGGGACAGACACCAGCAATCTACCTGTACGTTTAATCAAGCAGCTCCCACAGATGCATATCAAAGCACTTTACAATGAGAATAGGCTGATTGCAAACCTCTAATGAGCCGGGGTGACTGAAAGAGTTTTTGCACAAATGTAGGGTTTGCACATAAAAAATAGCCAGAGTGTGCATGACAGCCCAGAATCTGTGGGCTGCACGTATGAAAGCAATGACCATTGTCCTCAAATTACATTCTTTAGGACGACTTATTTCTGTTGAAGACCTGGGTGTGTCTGCAGCTATCCTGAGTTACCCCAGCCCTCAGTAGATATTTAGCTTATGCCCTGATAAGAGCTGGGACCAAGAGAGGAAATGCCATATTTCTCTGGAGTAACACACCATCTGGGACAGACAGGGTGTTATTGCAGCTCAAACCTGCAACATGTCTCTCACTGTGACTCATTTACTGCCAGTACCAAATCATCCCCGGTGCTCTCAGTGTACAGGCATGCTGCGCTGTGATTGGCTGTGGATGATGTCAGGCACAGCTGTGTTTGCTAGACTGACAGATGGAAAGGTATGTGCTTTCCTCCTGACCAGTATAGTTTATATAAGATCATGAAGCACCTGAAACAGGTTAAACTGCAGCGCAATGGGAGTCTGATTCCTGTACGTATGGATACTATCCAGGGGTTCAGTGAAGCATTCTCTCTCATGTATTATTCAGTCAGATTGTGTGCCTATGTAAGCTTTAGGTCTGTGCTGTGCTTGACAATAAAATCATGGATAAACTGCTGCTTTTTTCATTATTTTATGGATTAGTGCCATAATAAATCATTTTATGCACCCTACAACACATTCCAAGTGAAGTAGTGATAAAATGCTCAGCCAAGTGTTAATGGATTTTTCTCTGAGCAGTGATATGCTTTGTAATTTGGAAATCTACTGTAGTACATTGTGTTACACGACAAAGGGATGTCATGTAACGTAGCTCTTGACACATTTTGTTCAGAACTCAGAACTGGAATACAGCAAAAACACAAAAGAAAATCACACACTATGACAGTTCTTGGTTCTAAGGACATACTTTACACATCATTCTCTCTTTATTAATATAAATGCTGAGATACATGCACTAGTAATTGAACGATGAAAATGTCATTAGTTAAGGGTTTGGAGAGGAAGTGGTGGAGACAAACAGTACCCCGCTTAATTGAACTGCACAGCTAAGGAGAACTGGGGTGTAAATATGCTGGTCTCTTGTTGTCCATCATTTTGTGGGTAGTAGTACAATAATGGTCAGGATCAGATGATCTTTGGGTTTTTAGTTTTCATTTATCCTTAGAAGGCTAAAAGATTCCATCTCTCATGAATATTTCAGTTTAATATAATGCAGCATATACTGAGTTCTGAAGCACCTGGAATGTGTCCTACAATGAAAAGTGTACAGATTATAAATAAACTATGAGGAAAAAAAAACTCTTGGTTTATCCTTTCCATGTCCTGTTTCCAGTTGCAGCTAAATATAATATAGAGAAACTGCAGCTCTTTCCAATTGAGTGAGTCATTTTCCCATCCTTCATTGAGTTAATAGCTTTCCCACAATCAGGCCACTTCCAGCAGAGTCCCAGTGATGCCTGAACATCAAGGGAAAATACAGCGTCCAGCACCAGGGGATCCTGTAGAGTCCAGTGAAGAAGGCACAGGGTATAAGGCAGGATGAAAAGGTGTGCAAATGGCTAAATATCTCAAGTACAAGTTAAATACCTGCCAAGAATAAATTGCTGGAGTGTCTGTTTGAAAGTCTTCCTCTTGTGGCACATTTTGCTCCAGGGCTGTCCAGAATGTGGAGACAGAATTGGAAGGGGTCATGCAGAAAAGGTCTAATAAAACCATAACCATTTCTTATTATTCCAAGCTGTGTTTTAATTACTTGGAACTCTAACTCGCTTGGGCATTAAGGCCCCATTCTTTGTGACTGCAATACATTTCCATGCTCTGAAACCTTTTTTCCTTCTGAATATTAGCATTAAAATATTTGTAACTTTCATACAAATTCATTCATACATAAATTACATTTTCTATATAGTTATATTGTTTTATATTTTGCTGTAGATTGAAGAAAATTTGATTTATGTTTTCCATTAGTGGTTTAATTAGCTTTTGGAAATCCTTGTACCCGACACTAAAACAATTTGTCCAAAGCGATACGTTATGAACTTTAAAAATTCTTAGAAATTCTATCTGTCAAATAAGAAACTGGAGACTCGTTAGTGACACATGATTTTACTGTTCAAGTTAAATTATTACTGGCCATAGCAGAATAAAAGCAATGATCTTAAAACTACAATTTGTGATGCAGAATTACACTTTGATTTATCATGTCTTCTAATGTCGGAGTGGTTGTTTTAATTCTACTTTACATTTCTACAAAAAGTGTGATTATTTTTTAATCTGAAAAAGCTGAATATTAACACTTTCCAGTAAAATGAAAGGTAGCTTCTTGACTTTAATTATTTCTCCAGTACAGTGGAAACTTTAAAGCATGATTAATCTCCTTTCATGGAAAAAAATAAAATATATAAATACTGAATTTTCTCAATTCATTAGTGAATAAAAAATATATATAGAAAGTGGCAGTACATCGGCACAGTTCCTGGGGATCTGTCTGTGTGGAGTTTGCATGTTCTTCCAATGTTCACATTGGTTTCCTAGTGCTCCGGTTTCCTCCCACAGTCCAAAAACTTACAGGTAGTTTCAATGGCCTCTGGGAAAACCGGCTCTGGTGTGACCATGTGTGTGTGCCCTGTGATGGACTGGCGTCCTGTCCAGGGTGTACCCTGCCTTGTGCCTATTGCTTACTGGGATAGGCTTGGGCTCCCCCACAATCCTGAATGGGCAGAAATGGTTAGAAAATGGATGGATGGGTATACTGTATTTAAGGCATTTTACAGTTCAGAATTTAGAGTCTCCCTTTCTTAGCCAACAGAGGGCAGTAGTGTTCATTAAAGCCCTCATGTGACAGACTGTGTGCTACTGTAAGTGAAACCCCATTTGCAGCGATTGGCAGGATGGAAGATGCAGACCTGAAAATAGCTCAGACCACTTCTGGAATTTAGAAGAGAGCAGACATAGGAAGCATGGAATTCTCCCTCCCAACTCATTCTTTTTCTGGAATTCCTGCAGTTGTTTTCGTCATCTGAA